ATAATGATGTTTCCAACAGACCCACTTAGAGTCAAAAGAATTAAGTTAAATATAAAATGAAATGTACTATCACCAGCATTAACAAATGAAAACGCTAGAATGAGGGTTATTGAAGCTAAAAACACCATTCGAAAAAGAAATTTTTCCTTGTAACCGTCTCTATCGTTGATAATTTTTTGTAAAACCAATATTTTTCTTATGAAAAGAAACAAAAGTGAAATGATGAAGAGTGCTGCCAATATGTATATAACAATCATATATTTTTCGACGTTATTGAAGTCAGAACTTTTGATAACGTTTAAGATAATTATAGAAGCCAAAATAGACCCTGGAATAATTATATAGTTTAGACAAAAGTTGCTAATATGGAGTATTTTACTATTCCATATAATATTTGCGATGGAGAAGATGAATGACATGATAAATATTACCCCAAGTGCTGGTAGAAAAATTAAATGTACCATTTTATGGACATCACCAATAGGATTATTTGGGCTGGAGACGATTTGTGTCACTCTAATCGCAAAAACTGTGAACCCATAAGAAATATAAATTACATCTAATGCTTTATCCAAATGCGGTTCCAGTTTTTTTTGGAATAAAGAAGATAAACATGCCCCAGCGAATAATAAAACAAAGGAGAAAAAATTTTCAAGGTCTGCATCATTATCCATTTTGTGGGTGAATATTGACTAGTATTGAGTATTTATATGTTTTGAATTTGTGTATAAAACACAACAGATTTATTGTGTTTCAGCTGCGTGAAATTCAAATTAGTCAATCCCCCAAAATTAATTGACGATCCAGTGAAATGTCGATCTTTTTATTATTAAAAAACGGAAGTAAAATTTTATATGATGCAAGTCACTTAGTCCCACAACTTTTTATTGGTCGTGTAGATTTTTAAATTCTCCAAAAATGGAAATGTAACACTCCAAAATAAATCATGTATTTGAAGCCAAGACCTTCCTCTACAAAATTACGATTTCATCTCATTGATATGCCATGTTGTTGTGGAGAATTTGAGCTTCAAATTTATGCAAGATTACTGAATTTACTATGTTTAGCCCTAAAATGACGCGGTGTTACACAAAAAAGTTAATATATACCAAACAAAAATAGATGAATTGAAACAAAATAAAAATTTGAAAAATTTCCCTTATATCGCAGATCTTTTGTCATGTGAATTTTCCAGATGAACGGGAAGAGAATTATCTTTGTTATTAAAAAAAAATACAAAGAACAACTAAGTTCATTTATTTTAAATTAATAAATAAACTATCGCATTAATCAAAGAAATATGCAATTTGCAAAAGATTCTAATGAACGTTTATAATTATTTAACAGTTTGTGTAGGAGTAATTGAAGTAAGTTTCAAGGACAAGCAAGATCTATGAACAAAATATACTAACAAAGGTTTTATCAATCATTCAATAGTTTATATAAATTTCTCTTTTATTTTAACTAATATTTAATAACATCACTATAATCATTATTGTTGTTGTTTATTGTTCTAATCATCATTTACAAATGTATATATAGGAATAAATGTAAAGGAAAAATTTTTAATATATTTATTTAGCACTTGAAAATTTTCAAAAATCATGTGACTTTAAAATTTTTATTGCATTTTTTGATTGGGAAATTTTTTCTCAAAATTGGCGGTGTGGCACAGAAAGTTGTGGGACTAAGTGACTTGCACTATACTATAGTTAATTGATGATGCTAGAAAGTCATTGTTAATTACCAATGATTATTTTTTAAATATGACAATTTGTTTGGAGTTCAAGGAAATATATTGGAGATTTTTGAAGTTATTTGGTATGATATTAAATACAAATAAGCCTAAATTTTATTAACTTACAAATTTTTATATCAGACACATCAACAGTACCAGTATCATTTTTCAACAATGATTACATGTCAAGATCATGTCATAATTCTTCACAATCTCATTATCAAAGTCACAATAATACTCAACATGATCATTATTAAATTGAAGAATTTGAAATTATTGAAGTGTTGAAGTACTTTTTGATAAAGTTTTAAAATTAATAAAAACAAAATGATTAACAGCAAAAAAATATATAAAATAAAAATAATGATAAATTGATTAACAAATGAAAAATAAATTAATAAAGGTGATTAATGAATGCAATAAAAATTAATTAATCATCAATTATTTTCCTTTATTATTATTACAAGTAAATAATATTGTTAGTAATTAATTAATAACAATTAATAAATTTCAATTAATGAAAATTTAACTCACCTTATTAGAAATCAAGATTATTTGATAAACTGTTGTTACTTGAATAAATTTTTAAGTTTTTAAATTTAGCAATTTCATCATCTAACATTCTACTTGTGTAATATGCA